CTTGTTAAATAAACAAGAGGCCCTCTTTGTTGAGTCTCAGTGGATGCAATAGCTCTAGTGTGGTGTCCCCAGGGTGTGATTTGGGTACTTACTACTTGTAGCCCTCCAGATGCTTCTAGGCGATTCAAGGACAAGAGGAGCACCTCATGGCCAGAAGCTGAACAGCGCCACCAAGCTGACAGGCTGTTTCAGTGGTGGCCAAAGCCCACACCCACTCTTATTTTTAATTTCAATTTCAATCCAAGTAATAAATATACATAATGTTTAAGAGTTAATTACTACTACGAGTTATATACTATTACAAAGCTTATAACAAAAATCCCCTTTCTCACCACTAAGTCCCATCCCATGAAGCAATAACTCATTCTTTGGTTACTTCTTTATACCTGACTATGGTGTCACTTCAAGATTTTCAAATTTTAGACCTTTTCTATTAACTTACAGCTATGGAGAATAAAAATTTAGTCTCTCCCCCTCTCTCTTTCTCTCTCTCTCTCTCTCTCTCTCTCTCTCTCTCTCACACACACACACACACACACATACCCTCCTGCTCCAATTTTCCCAAAATAATTATATCATCATTTCTGGTTAAATGATCACACACACCACACACACACATACCCTCCTGCTCCAATTTTCCCAAAATAATTATATCATCATTTCTGGTTAAATGAATGTACTGTTCTTACATTATAATGACAGTGTAATATTATTTCCAGCTGAGTGTTGTAGTTTATGATGATTACAATGTTCTTCTTATAAATTGTCTTTGTTTTCTTGGCTTTAATAATCACCTTGGCTTATTTGCTTAGCTTTCTGTGAGTAGCTCCAGTCCATCCTCAAATTCTTTGTCAGAACTCCAGTCCTCTACAAGCGCCTCAGCTTTGCGCTCAGCCTAGGGGCAGAGTACAGTGTAATGCAGTGGTTCTCAGAGTGTGCTTCCCAGACCAACGACGTTAGCATCAGCAGCACCTGGGACCTAGTGAGGCATGAAAATAATCAAGCCCTACCCAGGACTTACTGGTTAGCCGCTCTGGGGGTGGGGCCCAGCAATCTAGGTGATGCTGAGGTGCACTTGAGCTGGAGAACCCCGGTTTGTGTAAAAGTTAAGAGTTTGGACACCAAACCCAAGGCTGCTGGGGATCAGATTTCAACTATTCCACTTGCTTGTAATGTGACAGCTTCCAAGTTCAATCTTCCCATTCATAAAATGGGGTCAACCGTATCTCCCTGTAATTGTTGTGAGCTTCGGGCTGTTAGGAAGCATGACAGGCTCCAGTTTTTCTTGGAGACAGCCCTCCTGGAGCCTCTGAAATCCAGTTCCATCATGCGAGGGGAGTTCAAGCCAATGGCATAGCCTCCCCACAGCCCTCCCCAGCGTCCCCAACTCAGAGTACACCCTCCACTGAGGCACCCACCTCAAGCTTCTGTCCTTCAGAACATCCACAGCCCCCTCTGAGGTCCTCCTCCCATACCCCGTATCAGCTTCTCTCCCCTTAACCCCTTCCCATCCTCAGCTCCCCGGCTACAACTGCCATTTCAGACGATTCTCTGCCATGGCCCGGTGCCACCTCCAGCCCCCAACCCTCAACTCCCAAGCCCGCTCCTCATTCCCACTACCCCCTGACCCAGCCCACTGGAGCAGTCTCAGCCTTCTCCCAGCTTCCATCCCTTCCACACTCCTCCACTCATCCAACCTTTCCTTCCCAGCCCAGAGCCTACTGCTTTCCCAGAGAACCCCTCCCCCCCACCCCAGGGCCAGCTGCCCCTTGGGTGTCCTCACCCAGTGAAGTAGCAGGGATGGGAAGGGAGCATCACCATTCTGCTTCCACTACTCTTCCCTATTCCCTGCGCTGCAGTCACACTGGCCTCTTTGGGTGCTACATCTCAGGGCCTTTGCACCTGCTCTTCCCCTTGACATGGAATGTTCTTCTAGTTGGTATGCATTTCTGCCCCTTAGCAGTAATTCCCACCCAAAGATGACCACTGATATGATTTCTGCCACCACAGATCAGTGTAGCTTGCCTTTACATTAATGGAATCAAATAGTATGTACTCTTTTTCCCCATTTATTTTTACAACTTTATTGAGGTAAAGCTGTAAAACTGATGTACAAAAACTGCACTTATTTAAAGTGTACAGTGTACACTTTGAAGTGTTTTGAACATATTCCCCCCTTGAAAGTATCACAAGGTAATTTCAAGACAACGAACAAATCCATCCCCTCAAAAAGTTTCTCAAGTCCCTTTGTATTCCATCCCCTCTCCCCCACCCCAACTACTAATCTGCTTTCTGTCACCATAAATTCGTTTGCATTTTCAAGAATTGTATATAGAATCATCCAGTATATACCCTTTTGTTCCTGACTTCTTTCACTTAGCATAATTATTTTGATTCATCCACATTGTATCAATACTTCATTCCTTTTTTTTTTCCCCCCATTGAACAGCATTTCTTGGTACAAAAATACCACAATTTGGTTATCCCTTCATTTACTGATGAACACTGGAGTGTTTTCCAGTTTGGGACTTATAGAAAAAGCCACTATAAACATTCTTATGCAAGTGTATTAGTGAACACAGGTTTTCATTTATCTTGGGTAAATACCTAGGCATGCAATTACTGGGCTATAGGGTAGATATATATTTAACTTTATAAGAAACTGCCACACCTTTTTTTTCCAAAGTGGTTGTACCATTTCACATTCTCAGTTGGCTTAAATTTGACATCAGTCATGTTCCTCACAGCTTCTGTACTTACTCCCTCTGCCTGAAATGCCTTTCCACTAGTTTTAGCATGGCTGGCTTGAGGTCTCAGCTCATGTCACTGTTACAGATTTAATTGTTATAGACTGGTATAGATTTAATTCCCCCCTCCCCACCCTTGCCAAAATCATATGTGGAATTCACAACCCCCAGTACCTTAGAATGTATCAATAATACATTTGGAGATAAAGTCTTTAAAGGGGTGATTAAGTTAAATGAGCCAGTTAGGGTAGGCCCTAATCCAATACGACTGTGTCCTTATAAGAAGAAGAAAAGATATCCCCACAGAGAAAATGTCTTATGAGGACACAGCCAGAAGGCAGCCATCTGCAAACTAAGGACAGAGGTCTCAGGAGAAACCAAACCTGCCAACACTCTGATCTTGGACTTCTAGCCTCCACAACTGTGAGAAAATAAATTCCTGTTAAGCCACCCAGTCAGTGGTATTTTGTTATGGCAGCCCTAGCAAACTAATACAGAGGCCTTTCAATCAGCATTTTGTAACCATGGGAGTAACTGACTCAGGCAAGAACCATAAATGAATGCTAAAAACAGCGGGTGACAGTCTGATGAAGAACAGGATAGTCTCAAAATATCTTCCCACAAGACACTTAATAATTACAAAGGGAAAAATAGTAACTTTTCAGTGTAGTACCTTGGCAGACACCACCTTAACCAAATGATCAAAGTCAACATCATCAGTATTGGAATAAAAAAATGCCATGTGCCTCCTGATGTGGTACACTGAGGACACAACTCCTTTCAGTGCCATTCCTACCAAAAATGCACAACCTAATTCTAATCATGAGAAAATACCAGACAAATCTAAACTTAGGGACATCTACAAAATAACTCACCAGTACTCTTCAAAAATGTTAAGGTCAGGGCTTCCCTGGTGGCGCAGTGGTTGAGAGTCCGCCTGCCGATGCAGGGGACACGGGTTCGTGCCCCGGTCCGGGAGGATCCCACATGCCGCGGAGCGGCTTGGCCCGTGGGCCATGGCCGCTGAGCCTGCGTGTACGGAGCCTGTGCTCCGCAACGGGAGAGGTCACGGCAGCGAGAGGCCCGCGTACCGCAAAAAAAACCAAAAAAACCAAATTATTATTATGGTTAAAAATATGATTCTTTACTATTCTTGTAATTTACATGTAAATTTGAAATTTTATCCAAAAAAAGTTAAGTTTTTAGTGACCACACTAACAAAAGTGGCCTGTCCCCAACCCCCAGGCACTCCTTAGCTCATTCTTTTCCTCTATTACACTTACATTGTCAAAAATGATCCTATGTATTTATTTAATAATATCTAACATTTAATGCGTGCAAGGCCCTGTCCTATTCTAAGTGCTTTAACTGTCTAACCTCAGTGAATCCTTCAACTACTGTTCTTCCCATATTACAGATGAGGACAAGAGACACTTAAGAAAGTGTTATTTGCACAAAGTCACCCATATGATTTGCCAAAGCACAGAACCTCAACTAAGGTAGAGACTGTCTTGTTCACCACTCTTT